ATCGTTCCGGATGGTCGTTAAATCCGATGTGATGAGGATTACTACTATTAACTGCCTTTTTTCCCTTGGGGCTGGCCTCGTGTATACTCGATGTGTAACGCAACAGGAAATTTTCCATTTTTGAAGGGTTTGATATCGATTTTCTATATTTCATCTGTTTTCATAATTTCCCTTATTTTAACATCTCATCAACTTCTTTTCTTCTTCATCCCATTGTCATTTTGTATTGCTCCTTTAGCGGGTGATGCTGAACATGAAAGTTTTACATGAGAGACATGTATCATCACGATGTGTTGATATGATATAATGATTTATGAATACTTCTCTTGCTCCTCCCTTGTCCTAAGCTTGAGAATGGATGATCTATTCGATTTAGCGCAGTTTTTCACCTTCCCGTTGAATGATTTTGATATCTTTTACTATTTACTTTATATTTATTTCCCATGATCTCCTTTCCCTTTCTGCAGACTTTTTCCTTTTCCCTTTTTTGTACTGTGGGCCCTTCAGTTCGGCCCTCTTTTTACCCCCCCCTGGAGCTTTAACGATTTATAAGTGATCTTGCCCTCCGATTATGATTGACGACATATTTAACTGCAACAAAAGATACATACGATAACGAACTTACGTGGATATGAGACGAGATATCCCGAAAGGAGGAGAATAAAAGACCAAAAAAATATTAATATTCCGCTTGGACGGACAAGCCTGTGTTGCCATTTCCACCTTGTTTCTCTCGCCTGGTATTCTGCAATGCCTCCCTTATCTGCGTATGCTGCTGTTCCGCTGATTTTGTTCCTCCTTTGGCCATCCTATATACCAATCTTCTTTGGCGGTTCATACATTACTCTTTGCTGGTTTTTGAGCGTGAGAATGTTGTCCCCACGTATCCTTTTTTTGCGAAGAATGTATATTAAGCACTTTACCCTCCTGAATAGGCTGTCTTTTGCAATACAACGGACGTTTGTTGATTATTAATTCATCATATATGTGGAAGCTGCCGCGATGCTGCTTTGATAAATAGGAACCAAAACTGCTGCACATAAAAATACACCCCCACACGCCAGGGTATATGTATCCTCTTGGAATAATACGCCAAATTAGAAGCCCCACCGCAGAGGTCCTCTCTGTTTCTCAGTCTCCCCCCCCATCACTTTCCCAATGCCTTCATTCTTTCCAATACCTCATCCCCGTCTAGAAATGGCTGCGGCGCCTTGGAAGAATCAAATTCGATCACCGGCACTTCCATTTCATCCTCCGGACCCTCCTGATCTCCCTGATCTCTCCGACCTTCCCGCGTTTCCTTCTCCCCCTTCTGCTTGCTTCCACTCCTATCCTCAGGCCGCTGACGAGTGCCGGTAGGTATGATAGTAGATTTTAGCTGAAGATCCGCCGGACGTGCAGAAGGGTTTAAAGGTTTGGAATATTTGCTTGGTTTGGAGACGGGCTGTTTAGGAAGTAAGGTACGGTGTTTGAATGGAGTTGTCATGTTTGCCGGTATTATTGCCCCTGTTTTCTTCTTCGCGGTGCCATGCCATCCATATTCATCGGTAGTTATGGCACGCTTGATGTCGCGAACAAGCCTCGGCCCCCGGTCCAACCCAGCCGTCGTCTGGATCACATGATCCAGCCTTATCAACCACGTGGTTCTTCGTTGGCTGAATCCTCCACCTCCACCAATCTCACCGACATCGGACACGATCGAGTCAATCAACTTCAATGAACCCCGCCAGCCGGGCAGCACGAAGCCTTAAGTAGCTAAGACCTTACAATCCGTGACACCCACCTGTAAGCGTTTCGAGTGCGTCCAACGACGCACCGACGCGGCGTGAAGTGGGAAGAGAAAAGAACCAAGAGTAACTACTCTGCCCCCGCATTCCCTGGTGCCGCTGCGAGGCTCTCTGCCGCTGCCGACCACGGCTCTTGCCCGTAAACCCACTCGCTCCCAACCTTTCTTTGTTCGGGGTGCTGGTTTTCCCCGGAGAGAAAACAATTCCCAGTGTGGCTGCCCTGACATTTAGCGACGACCATACACGCGGTGCCAGTGGCAGTGGGAGTGTCGCTGGCGTTGGCGTTGGGAATGGTAGCGGTGTCGGAGGTGGTAGTGCTCCAGGAAGAATAGCGACTCCAGCCGGAGCAGCAGGAGTTGGGCCAGCAGAGCAGCAGCAGCAAGGTCACAGCCGCCATGTCAGCCCTATCAGGGGGAATACCACTAGTTCGTTCGCTGCTGGTCCTTCTCCTGCTTCAGTGTCAACTTTTGGTGGTGGAAACCGGAGACGGAATGTGCATACCGCAGGGCTGGATAGCTCGCCAGGGAGCATAGACGATACAGAAGAGGCGGAGAATAATGCCAACAATACCCAGGATGACCGGAAGAAGCAGCCAGTGAAGCGCGCCTGCAATGAGTGTCGCCAACAAAAGGTGGGATGCTCAATTGAGAACTCAGGTTTTTTTTCTTTGGGTTTTGTTTTTGTTTTTCTTTCTTTTCTATGTGGTCGTAGTAACCAGGATACTTCCATTTAGAATGAGCAGGCTGTTTATGAGTCATGCAATCTGCTAACATTTGTATTGTAGCTCCGATGCGACGTTATACAAGAACCTTTTACTACGTGCTCGCGTTGCCGTCGTCTCAAATTGGAATGCAAGATCGAGTCGAATTTCAAACGTATCGGCAAGCGCAGTCGGAATGCAGAGATGGAACGTGAAATAATTGAGCTGAGAAGGCAAATTGCGAATGCCAATGCCGCGGCCAATGCGCAACAACAGCACCAGCAACCCCAGTCGTCTGCATCCACCAAACAAGACTCATCCATTTCTACTACGTTTAGTTCGTCTCAGCGCAACATGTATCAGCCGTCGCCGGGCCTTACAGGGGACCAGTATATGGGACCACATGAAGCCGTTGCATCGCTGCTTGATCTTCGATCAGGGCTGGATTCGTCTAGTTTTCTCAGAAGCCCTAGTGGCCAGATTGTAATGACCAAACGCCTGGAAGATGTGTCGGTTGCACCAGAACGTGTTACAGAATTATTTAGCCAGTTAGTATTCTTTCGATTGAACTTATCGACCGAATCACATCACCGTTATGCTAAATAAGGACTAGATTTTTCACGTTCTATCACCCCTTCCTCCCATTTCTAGATAGAGTTAAACCACCTGAGGAGTACTTTTCCACCTCGCCTCTCCTATTCTGGACTATAATTAGCGTGGGTTCGCGTCGATATCAAGGCGACCGTATTCTCCTGAACGCTTTGTCTGGGCCAGTGTCAAGATTGGTCTGGAGTACATTGGCAGATGTTCCTCAAAGCTACCATGTCGTAAAAGCATTAGCGCTATTATGCACTTGGCCATTTCCCACTAGTAGCACATCGACAGACCCAACTTTCATGCTTTGCGGTATGATGATGCAGATAGCTATGCAAATTGGCCTCCATCGACCGTCTCATGCGCAAGACTTTTCTAAATTCAGGATCGAGTTTAGAGAAGGGGAGTTGAAAGATAGGGTTAAGACTTGGGGTGTTTGCAATATCGTTGCTCAAAGGTATGGATGCCTCATACCTATCATATTTTTAAGTAAATGCTAACCCTCTTACTAGAGTGGCAACCGGTTATGGACAACCGTCGCAAACACTGCTTGACTGGACGCTATCATCACCAGAATCCGTTGACCAGAATTTTAAGCTCCCGCCGGAAATAAAGTGCCGACTGGATATTGAAAAGTTCTGCGATAAAGTAACCAGAGGCCTATACAGCAATCCTCGAGATCCTGTAGGGTTATCAAGCGATGATGAAAGGTTCATTGTAACCACAATTCTAGCCAAGGACTTCGAGGAGCTCGAAGGCCAGCTCAGACAGGAACATAATTGTGTGTGATTTACTTTCTCTTGTTCCCCTCTCCCTTATATAAACTAATAAATTATCTTTTAGCTATAACAAACCTCTACCTTCGGGCAGCCGGCCTTCACCTCCGCCTTTCTGCTTTCTTTGATAACCCGACAGCCAAAGACTACCGCCAGGGCCTCCTAGCACTCTACCTTGCAACCACACTCTTTCTCGACGAGGCTCTAAATCTCGAAACGTCCGTTGGGCCTGTTCTTGCATACAGCCCAAATTATATATATCAGATGACCCTGGCCGCTGGCTTCATTCTTCTGAAGCTGTGCAAAAGCTTCTTCGCAGTCCACATTGACATGGATTATACAAAAACCCTTTTCAACAGGACTATCTGGGCTATACGAAGTATGTCCGTCACGAACAATGATCTCCCTGAACGGTTGGCAGAGGTTTTGGCACAAATGTGGAGGACGGGAGGTGCACCTGTCTCCCCATATGTCGGCAGCTCATCGGTCCGCCCGGATATGGACGATACCCTGCAGCTGAAAGTCAGATGCCGTATGAGTATGTCTCTTGTCTACGATTCTGTTTGGCGATGGAGAGAAGATTTTCAAGCTAAAGGAAGGAATCTGGAATGTATGTTTCCCTCTTTCTACTAATATACCGATGCCCCTTCCCATATCCAAGGTTTCCCCGTGATTCTAACAATCGTAAACCAGCCTTCCTCAAAAACCCAACCAACCCAGACTCCAATGCCGACTCTTCTGCCTCATCCGTTGCCCCGTTGCGCGCCTCAAGTTCAACCCCTGGTATTCCCGGGGCAGATTCCAACCTTGCATCCGCACCCCCCTCTCACTCAACCAACATCGGCGGAGAAGGAAGCCTCAGCACAGCAGGTCCCGGTAACGGGATGGGGATCCTAGGAGGCTTCATGGAGCCGAATTACGAAGTATTTGATCCCCTCAATTGGATGCTGGATGGGTTGGTGGACTTCCCGTACTCGTTCAATCAGGTTCAGGGCTTGGAATCGCAGGGCATTGCCTAATCGCCTATTTCTGATTCTCTTCTCTTCTTTTCCTTCCTTTTCTTTTCCCTTTCTTCTTATTCGTCACAAGATTAACGGTTATATACTACTACCCCTTCTGTTTCTTGCTAGAAATAGAACTCTTCTCCGTTTACGTGTCTTTACTGTATATTTTTCACACTTTTATTCCCATTCTTGTTTCGATTGCAGTATCACATATCTTTTCTTGTCCTTTTTTTTTCTCCTTCTAGTGAGTTGGATATTCACAGAAGAAAGCCATAGGGAAGGCGCAAATTTTTTACGTATGCTAGCTTCTTTGGGTCCTTAACTCTGTGGTACTGCAATGAAGTTATACCATGGATCAGTCAATTCACAACCCATTTTTGACCTTTATATACCAGTTCATGCTGTAGATCGTTCGTATTCTTTTCTTGATATGCCCTTATTCCCACTTTTCAATACCTTTTATTGTTTCCCAGTCTACTCCCACTTTCTATCATTTTCATTTCACAAAGCATTTTTTACAACGGCCAGATTTCGATATGAATTATATGGTTCATTCATGTGCATACACCACACCGTAGAGTTACGAGGGGCGGGGATGATTAGATTCACCTAGGCGATAATGGGGTATCATAGATATGCAGAATTCAGATTCGTAGAGCATCGTACCAGTGGTGCGACGAACAAATACACATAAAATGCCAAATGCTAATGAAACTAAAGGACACTGGAATCAAAGAAAGGAGTAGAAATATCAGCAAGGTGTAATGAAAACTCCCCTCAAAACGAACATCTGGTTAAATACCTAGGCATCTATACCAGCAGGTTAACTAAACCAAGTAAATCGGGGTCAAAACACCGCTGCCAGTAGATTTATTATTCACCACCACAACCACCACAACCACCGCCGCCATCACCGCAAGCCCCGCCGCCATCAGCATCCCACCCACATCCCCCTGCCGCAACCTCAGCGGTGCATGTGGACGCAACACAATTACCTGGAGCGCCAATTCCCATGCTCATGCATGCCGGACTACACGGATATAAGTGTGTATTGATACCCGGATCGACCGCGAAGGGAATGTAAAGTGCCATTGCCAATGGCAAACCCCATACGATGGCAGTCGCTGCATACGGGCTTTCCCCGGCTTTGTCTGTGCTTGATGGTATAATCGAGAGGCGCTTCGCCCCAGAGTCGCCACTACCACCTCGTGTCAGGACGGATTTCGTGCTCCGTCTCCGTATCCGTCGCATGGCCTTTTCATATTTCCACTGAAGCTTTAAAGCCGCTAGCTCGCGCCCGTCCGGGCGCTCGAGGGGATTATCTACAGGATGCACAGCGTTATGAGTGGATATATGAGGGCTTTTGAGCGGGTCTCGATTAATATCCTTACGCATGTGCAGTTGGTCGCCTCGCTTTTGAGCTTGGGAGGTCGAAGAGGATTTGAAGAAGCCGCCGTTGTGGGATTCTCTGATGGCTTCGCAGTACCAGCACGTACATTCACTATATACCTGGCCCCCTGTGATCCGCTGGTATTGCTTTGATGTCCATTGGAATGCCGTGGTGAGTTTGGTCTCGGAGACCTTATCGTCGTGGTTGATGAACCATCCACCGGCATGGCGGGTGGAATATGTGAAATACTTATACGGCGAGAGTTGGTGGGTGTGCCAGGCGAGGTCAACGTCAAGCGTAGGGACGGCCATTTCTGTGCGGTTCTCCGATATAATTCGGAAGAAATATATATATTTCGTGATGAGGCGGTTCATGGTTGACTCGAGTGCGGGCGAGTGTATCCAGTCAATGTTGTCCATCTTTTGTATGAATGTTCCCTGGCGGATAACTGCTCCGACGAGGTCAAGTGCGAAAGGCGACGAGTTATCCCAGTATCGAGACATCATTTTTCGGATGGCGATGCGTTCTTCAGTATCGGGTTTGGACGCTGCACCATGAAGTGCTTTCTGGACCTTTTCTTCATCCGCGAGGGTCTCACCTAGGAAATCGCGTACCATAGACATCGATGCAGAGGGGTTCTGGGCGAGGTCAACTAGATTGCGTAGCGGCCCACGAATTACTAGCCTGATGAGATTGTTGGGGAAAGAAGGCCCGCGGTGATCCTCATCTCTGTCCTCTGGGACCCCAGTCGTGTCCAAAATGGTCCCGGGCATCGGAAAACATCCCGTAACAAGCCGTTGTACGTCACGACGAAACTTCGCAACGCGAAGCTTTTCGTGCGTGATAGTAACCCCACAATTATTGCAAACGGCTTTGAAGTTTTCGTCTCCAAAACCGTCGCAGTATTCAAAGGGATGATCTATTGATCCGATCTGTGGGTTTTCTTGTTGCCATGGAACAATTACATGAGCTTCACACTGTGGGCAGTTTAAAGACTTACACGGGCTATCATGATTGCTGTCCCACTGAAGGCCCGTTTGCATGCTGAAATTTGCTGCTGCTTCGGATGGAGGGGTGTACTCAAATGTTCTATGGTCGATGCTGGAATTCACAATTGCCCATGGTAAACCCGTCCTCCAGAAGCTCATTTTGCCTAGGCGAATGCAGTCTTCTAGAAAATCTCGAGGATTCAGCATGTATGCATGCCATACCATCAAAACATCTGCGCATAAATAATAATTAGCTATTTGCAAACGGGCATAAATCATCCGAAGCCAGGGAATCTAACCTAAAGGAGGCATAATATCAACAGTCCAAGCAATCGTGTCTTGCCAGGCCGTTGAAGCCGCATGTCTACCAGGACGCTTCATATCGTAAGTGGTAAGAGCCCCATTACTAGAACCAAAGCCATCAGTCCTAATGCACTTTTCGTGCCAGAGGGAGAACCTGTCCACTGCTCTACCGACCTATACTGCCCATCGTTTTTCTCTAATCAATTGAGCACCTTTGAGCCTGTATTCCTCGGTCTGGTATTTTCCATACTCTGCGTCGTAGAGATTAAACAGGCCGTCAGTTGTCGAAATAGTGTCACGAAGATCCGCTAGAGCGGCCAAAAGTTTTAAATGCGCAATACATTGATCCGTGGTAACCGGCCCAGCGATGGCAGGATTGACAGACCCTTGTAGGCCTAGTGGCTCAAAATGAAGCTCTCGAAGTGACGCTAATGGAGCCGTACTGCTCGCATTGGGATCATCTGGCAAATACGATGGCGGAGGGTCATTCGATGGAGGTAAGTTAAGAGTGGACGGGGGTTTCTCGTTGGTATTTGGTTGAGATGCACTCATGGCGAGAAGAAGAACAGTAAAGCCCAGCCGTTATTTTGCACCTTGCGTTTGATGGTGGTGAGGGGTTAGGTCGTCTTTCGGGATTTAGCCCCTAAAACAGCAGAAGGTTCCTGAACAAACGAACAGTTAATGACCCCAAGGCTGTAACTTATGATTTTGCGTCACATAGTCATGCATGTATAAAATACATGGGCGGATGGACGAGATATCTTGGGCGAAGGTGGCTCTGAATTTATCCACTCAACTCTTCAATGCAGTTCAGCCTGTGCTATAGTAGAATCTTAATCATAAGCTTGTTAAGTGTTTGATAGTTGATACACATCTGTCATTTCTCACCTGCCTTTTTCATAAATAGAGTCAACAAGAGGGAATAAAAAGGTCATGGAGACGGATTCTGATAGACTCTAACGGTCATTGTGGTAGAAGGGGATTAACATGTATTCATTCTGAAAGCACATTGACTAAAGGAGTCAGTTGATCAAAACTGCTTCGCCTTGCTGTCGGAGGTGCGCCACAGCTGTAATAAGCGTTCGTCGACTGGCTTTCTCGATGGAGCCAAAATACGGAGTACGGAGTAGTCAAGATAATATTTAGATAGAATGGCGTTTTTGGGAAAAGGTGATGTTTTGATTTTCGTTTGGCGAGCTTTTGTTGAAGAAAGCTCCTGATTTTGATGAGATTTGACCGAGTTGGAAGCCATAACATCTCGTGGGATGACATTTACGTCGAAGAACTCGAACTTGCTTATAATCATATTCAGTGTACCGTTATGAGTATGTTTGTTTACCATGTCCTGGACCTGTTGCATGGCTTGATGCGAGAGCCTAATAAGAGGAAAGAGAACGTGAACCTCACAGCCAGCCACAAACTCTATATAAAGGACAGCCAAGCCACACCATCGCGCGCTCGCGGTAGCTTGACTGCATGTCTCTCGGTCCATCAATCAATCCATAAATGGCCTCGTGTTTTGTGGGGGGCGGAGTCGAGGGGAAAAATATTTCGCAGTGTTCACGAAAAGCTTCAGCTCAGGGGGGATTAAATAGGGCATTGAGGGGCAACGGATGTCAGGGAAAAGTGCCTGTAGAGATGTAACTTGACCGGGGAATGAGAAACTATTTTCTCATCCTTCAACGAAGGCGCAAACTAGATTAATGCCGTGACCCCGAACTAGAAGAGTTGATATTTTAAGTTACCGGCACGATTTTTGATAGAAATCGAATACTCTGTTTAACGATAACAATTAAAAAAAAAAAAAAAAAAAAAAAAAAAGATCAGTTGAAAGAGAGATGCTCGAGAGACGACATTGTATTTTACTCAGTAGAAATAACTACATCTCTCAATACAGCTTGTCGATCTCCATACACATTAAACGAGTTGGCACGCTGACATTGTCCCTAACGCTCATCGAGCGCCCAGAAAGATATCCAGAGATTCCCTTCTCTTCCAGATGTGTGGGGTATATACAAATGATTAAAAAGAGATAAAAACACTTAAATTGAAAAATAAAAAGACCTATGTATAAATGGAGAGAAAAAGTGGAAGGGACAAGGGGAGGGGAGCAGGAGGAGAAAGGCTTGTATGGTGGGTGTGTTTGTTTGTCGCGGGGCGGGTCAATTTCAGGCATGTAATGGAAAAGGTTACGAGGGGAGTAACGAAACCAAAGGCATCGCGAATGAACGTCGTAGAGCAAAGCACGAAAAGAGTGCTAAACAGTGTCACAAAATCCTGCCGGGTAGGGTATGTCAACGCCTTGATTAATAGAGAGAAAAAAAAAAAAAGAAAAAGAAAAAAGACACAGCCACTCGCGGACGTATAGAAAGCAGAACAGAATCAGGAGATTGAATGCCCGGAGGAGAAACAGGGAACAAGAAAAATAAACCCGGAATCCGGTCAGTCGTTCTCGGAGCTCTCAATGCCCTCCAATACAGTGTGCTTCTCACAGAATTGAACACCTACCCTCCCTTCTCTTTCTCCTCTCCCCATCAGCATCGCTCCATTCGGTCATTCCACCTCTCAACTCTTCAGCCATCCGGCGCTGTCCTACCTCTGCATCAGAATGAGAACTTGAAATCATTCGCCCTGAGCGGGGGTCGAAAAAGGCGCCACCCGTTCCGAACCTGCGGCGGGGTATGTCTTGGGATCTTGGTCTAGATCGGTGAGTCTCTTGGTTTGAACGGACGGTGTAGAGGGTCTCCATACGGCGAGGTGGTTCATGAGACTGAAGGTGGGGGGAAGATAGAGCTTGGGGTTTTGTAATAACAGGTGAATTGTTGGGAGGAATGGTATGGCGGGGAATGGGGTGTGTGCTTATTGAATCCAATTGCGATGATCTCAAATGAGTTGACTGTCCACGTTGGGAAGAACTAGCATTGAAATTCCTTGCCGTTGGTTGGGACCCGTCTATAGTATCCTCAGTAGCGGACAATCGTCTGATTCCCGTGCGTCCGTGTTGGTGTGTATCAGAAGTGGCAGATGGAGATGCTGAATTGGCTTGTAAGTCAAATTGATTGGTAGGGCCGTTTCTACCAATCACTCGGACTGGCATATGGGTAGCTCCTAAAGAAGACCCAGAAACCATAGGTGAAATTGGGGACGAATTTTCCGCAGATGAGCCGTGGGGGAACCTAGGCCGGGGCAGCTCTGTCGAGGACGGTGAAATTTGTGTATTTACAACAAGCGGTTGAGACGGAAGGGAAAGGTTAGTTGGCGCAGAGCCACCTCTATGATTCAGCACGGGTGGCACTATCGGACGGCGTTCACTAGACTGAATCTCGGTTGGAGTCATCGTCCCGGGTACGCCATCGGTAGCTGCTCTTGCATGACTAGGAGGGTATGGAGAGGTATTATTCCTTCCGAGTGGATTACCTTGGCGCAGGGTATCCGGGGATTGTCCTGCCCTCGTCCTAGGAACAGGAATACGCTCCATGGTTGACCTCGTTCGTTCCATAGCGTTCTGTGAGATAGAGCCAAATCGGGATGTTTGTGTCCGTCGGAGGTCGCGGGAAGCATTTCCATTACGCATCCGTGGGGCGGGGTTGGTCGGCGAGGGTAGCAACGTTCTTTGAATATGATCCGGGAGAGGCTGATCTGCGTCGGGGGTATAAGGCGGTGGTGGAGGAACCCAGTTATCGGCATCACTTTCGTGTGGTACCACTGGTCGCCGGTTTACTAAGACTGAATTTGCGTAGCGAGCATTTTGGAAGCGATTCCTGTTGGCTGCAGCGGTAGCGGCTCCATTAAGAAGGCTTTGGGACCGTGGCTGGGTGTTTGAATACGGAACCTCGATAGCCTGGAGGTCAACAGATAGGGTGAGATCTGTGGGGGAACTAGGCTGCGATAAACTATTTCGATTCCCCCTGGTTGGGACCGGTGGAGTTTCAATATGCGAACTTCCAATACTCGCACGATGCCTAGCGAGCGTACCAGAGCGCTCAATGACAGCATTACGATCTCGCCCCAGTCCGCCACGTCTATTAACCCGCGTCCTCCTTCTCTCTAGCTCAACCTCGACAGCCATGCTTGAATCCCGTTCCGGTAATGGTATGGGCTCTGCCTCGCCCACTTCAATTGTCAACTCAACTGCCTTTCCATTAGTCGGTGAACGCGCAAAATCAAAAATGGCAATCCTGCCACCATCTACTGGCAGAAGATCATCGCCCATTTCTCCCAGGAAAGAGTTAACACCCCCAGGAGCTGCTGCCACGAGCCGCTGGAAACGTTTCTCTCTAGGGTTTCCTAGGTTGACGCCGTCTACCCATTTTATTGCCGTGATATCATTCATGGATGATAGGGACCGCCCATGGATCAAGTGACTGGGCGGTTTTACCACCTTGTTGAGCCTCTGTGAATTTGTACGAACTGGCCGTGAACCCCAATTTCTTTCTAGGACGACATTTTGTGCTGACGGTCGATCCGAAACATCTGGAATGCCGTATAGCCACATCCCGGAATCTTGGAAACCCAATACCAATAGCTCCCCATTACAGCCTGCCGTAGGGGCAAAGCATGGGCCGGGTTCTTTTATCTCACCGTCTCCACCAGGTCCTACGAAGTACGTAAACCCACCCCGCGCATCATCGATTTGGCCAAGGCGAAAAACTTGCAACTGGGTGTCATATCCAACAATCCAAGTAACGCCTTCATCAGCAACTGTCGACGGAATCAGTGTGACGTTATTGTAACCAATCGTGATGTCCGGAGATAATATCTGAGTTGTCCACATTCGGGACTGCAGCTCTGGCGAAGGCAGTTCTGAATCTAGGTCCATATAAAGAGGTGGTGAGATGGATACCATTCTGGCCTCGAGAGGATCATTTGACGAGCCAACTAGCATCAAACCATCCCGTGAGAACGATAACATATCGGTATGAAAACATCGCACAGCCCTGCGATCAGTTGCCAGTGCCCTCTCCCCCAAAGCATGCACCTCGATACCGCCATCATAAGAAATAGCTAAAACTGTCCCTTCGGGAGATAAGGAGATTGTCCGGGGAACATTGTCCAACGTAATGGCCTGGATTAGGTTTACATTCCCATTAATGAGGCGATAAACATTCGCTTGGTGAATAGAGGAAACCACCGCCAATAGGCTTGCGTCTTCGACTATTGCAGCCGTGACAGGCCGTCGCAGAGTCTTTAATTCGTAAGAAACAGATATTGGGTCTGTGGATAAGTCAATCACGAAAATTCTAGACGAACTTAACGCCAGTAATTGTCGCCCATTTGCCGAGAAAGTAAACTGAAAAGCTTCTCCTTGGGGAAACGCGGATGATGAACATGCTGAAGCCGAAATGAGATTGATCAGGGTTTTTTGGGGTCTGAGAAATGATTCGAACAAATTTCTCCTAGTTTCGCGGGCAAACCTCCTCTTCAACTGCCAGAGATCTTCTAATATCCAAGGGCGCTGCACGCTGTCATTGTTTCGCAAAACAGTGGATGTACAACAATCTAGATGATAGCGATACAGCTCAGGAAGATCAGACACTGTCCGCCATTTCCTATTTAACAGAGCGAGAGACGCGAAAGCGTTTGCGTCAACAGTATACAAAATCCTAAACAAGAAATGTGAGCCCCATTCAACAGATATCGGAATTATTTCTTCTTTTCATATTACCTTCCGTATTGGGAAGGAAATAATAAAAAATAATAAAAATAGATAGCCTGCATATTCGTGGCGCAGGAAGAGGAAGATCTTAAGACTTAACTTACCTCTCAATTATTTGATGTGGAAGAGAACCTAGTAAATCACAGCCCTGGGATTGAGGATTTTTTGAACCTCCATCGTTCTGCTGTCGCGTTTCGCTTGTTGAAGGCCTCCAGGAGGGAGGTCTGTCATCAGCAGGGGAGGGCGTCAATGGACTTGCAACCGCATCGAGGGTCATATCTGGTTCAACACTGGCGGGATTCTCGATACGATTCCAGGGTGAATTAGAATCACCGTCTTCCATGGCCGTGGCGAGAATTCCTTGCAACTACACATCATCAATGGTAGGGCTCAAAGTATCTGGTAGGGCCGCACATGTCATGGCGATGTTGGTAGTTGGGAATGTCATTTGTCTCGTCTTTGTTTCGTGTGCGTACATCCGAGCCCGCAACTAACAAGAAGGCCGAACTTGAGTTGGGCCCTGTCTTGGGGCTGTGTTGGAACTGGGAGATAAATTGCAAGCAGTTTCTGTAACCTTCACAATATCTGCAGGAAATAGGACCTATAACCATGCCCTTGCTGGCAGAAGTGCCGTGATGGGATTCGCCGCGATCGACCTCTCTAATCCTGAAGAACCGATGAAAAGTTGGCCATTGCAGATGCGACCGCCGGCAGGAGATTGAGACGAGCTTTGTGTTCTGGATCCTAAAATAGCAACTTATCACTGCTCCAATGCTAGTCACACACCCACGCCAATCGTATCCTCGTTGGTCCATCCCTTCATCTGGCGCCCAGATTTGCGGTCGCCAGGCTAGCGCTCTGGTGGCCAATAGTTAAATGTCAGCAGCGGATGCGACCACGGTGGGCCAGGTAGTTAAATAACTAGTTAGCTCAGTAAGCAGCCAGGTTCTCCGTCTGCTTCCTGCAGGATTGCGTTGTTCTTTTAAATCATTTTAATTTGATTCTAGGGTTTTTTTGCCGGTCTATCAACTTCTCCCCTACTTTTAGTTCCAGATGGTCAGGTCCCGTTGTAAGGTAAGATTCCATACGCGGAGTACATAACATACATATACATAACATAGCTCGGAGTACACGCGATCTTCACACAATAACATCTGGAGCCTTGGTGTTAAACCAACCCGATTATTTCCAAACTGCCCTGAATGAGTGGCAAGGCTCGGATTGTTTATCCTGAGTTTGGTTCAACTCTTTCTCGAAAAACAACAGATGGGTGGATTCTAGTTACATAGTTCGGGGTAAGATCTTGTCTAAGTAGTCTAAAAATCCCCCCCCCCCTATAGAGATAAATGATTGTGAATAATCTCTCATATATCAATTGAATACTTTCACGTCATTGCAAGGATCGAAGCCGGCACGACTCGAACAATAACAGAGGTTCTCACCATGGTTGTTTGCATCTCTCCCTGGTTGGTATCACGACCGTTCGTATTCTATGGTCGGATACCATATCATTTCCATGCTACTCGTCGCACTTCTATCTCAGATCGCTACCATGCGCCTGCGATGATGATGAGGAGCTCGTTTCTCGTTCGAAACTGCTCGACTGCATCCCAGAATCCTCACCGACTTCTCCTCCATGATATGAAACTGGAAGAAGAGCTCCCAGGTTACAATCCCATTCTATCCAGTCAGGCTGGGAGATGTATTCGAGTCCAGATATCAAGTCATTGCGAAGCTCGGGTTTGGAGTGGGTTCGAGTGTATGGCTCTGCCGAGACTTAGAGTGAGAAATGAAGCGATCACAACATCCAGGCAGCCCTTTGAGTTCAAGTACCTGATGCGTTTTAGGTCCGGTGACTACCTAACTCTGAAAGTCTGCACCTGCAGAAAGGTGGCTGGTGTAACTGCCCAGTCTACCAACGAAGCGGCTGTAACGAGACATATTCGAGCCAGCGATTATGAACATCCTGGTGACAGATACCTCCGCCTGATACTCAGAGAGTTCACCATCCACGGGCCTGGGGGTGAACACAGATGCCTACTGTATACACCTCAGGGAATGACTTTTAAGGAGTTCCGCAATTTACTGCCAAACCGGTTGCTGAATAAGGCACTCCTTCAGCAGACATATCAGTTAATCTTGATTGGGCTCGATCTTCTGCACCAACTAGGTGTGGTACATACAGGTATGATTCTGTGTTTTATCTAGAACAGGCTTCTTCACTACGATGTGCGTATGCATATTCCTCCGCTGACATTCTTAATCTCTTTTAGATATATCGCCTAATAATATCCTCCTGGGTGCCCAGAGCTCCTCTATTTTTTTCTAAAATCGAGCAGTCTGAGTTAGAACATCCTAGCGCCCGCAAAGTCTTCAGGGACCGGGTCATCTATCAATCCCAATATATGCTCATAACCGATGGCACGCCAGTGCTTTGTGACTTTGGAGCTGCCTGGATTGGCGAAGGGAAACATCGAGGCGATGTCATGCCTGACTTCTATCGTGCACCAGAGGTGATTCTTGGGATGGAATGGGACTGCAAGATTGACATCTGGTCAATTGGAGTCATGGTGAGTCACCTGCAGAACTAAACCATTACCCGCAGAACGCCCGCAGAACATGCTCGAGATCTTTGCATACCAAAGCGCTAGGAGCGCGTATCTACTCACGATATGGCAGATATGGGATTTATTTGAAGGCGGTCGCCTTTTTTACGCCTTCAGAAACCGCATTCTGGATGATGAGCAACATCTTGCTGAAATGGTTGCTCTCATGGGACCTCCACCCCAGAGCTTCCTTCAAAGGAGTGAGAAATGCCGTAATTACTGGGATGTAGAAGGAGAGTATCTTGCCATATCACCTGCTCATCCCCCGGAAGAGATTATAAAGCTGAAATTATTCTAGGACGGTGGAATGCGACAACGCCCATTCCCGATCAGTCATTTGACACGAAAGAGTGGCGTCTAGAAGGTGACGATCACTGGCTGTTGTTGGATTTTCTTAGCAAAATATTCAGGTGGCTTCCCGAAGAACGCGCTTCAGCACAGGAGTTAATATCCAATCCATTTCTGATGCAGCATCATGAACGACCACAAATAGCTAACACATCATGAGTCTAGAACTGAGGCATTGTCTAAGACAACGTAAATATCCTCTTTTGGGAAAGTCCGTGTACTCTTCTTACAAGGATTTGAAGGGGTTGTGTGAAATCTACTGAGTTTTTCTTGTAATCTCTCAACTCTGAACCTTTCAGGCTGAACGGTAGTATAACTCATCTTCGTAATCATGCTTAATCGTTGGTTACCTATGAACCTTGGTCGCTAGTTATTTAGCCAAGAGCCCCTTTTTTACCCCAAGAAAATACGGAATGCGGAATGGTCGGCTAGTATAACCACGTGATAAATTCCGCTCACCCTTAGCCGATGGATTGCCGGAGTGGAATGATTTACAAGACGGTGATATGCTGCAATTGTTCAACCCGCTACTATCAATGTCATGCTTTTTACGTATTTGTTCCATTTGAATGTACTTAGGTTCGCTGCATTGATGGAAGATGCTATTATTTGCCAATAATCCTTGAATATTCGTCGCCTCTTTTTGATGCCTCATTGATGCCCAGATGAAGGTGTGGATAACATGTCCGTAACCACCAGCCCTCCCCCGAAAGGGGCCTCAAAAGATTATCATTCGGCTCCTATCTCTACTGGCGCTCGTCCTTACAGGTCTCACAAAATTCGTGCCTGTGATTTATGCCGCAAAAGGAAATCTCGATGCACTGTGGATCTGCCAGGCGAGTCATGCCTTCTTTGCCGCGTTCAAGGGGCGGATTGTCACTACCGTGAAGGTCCGATAAAGCCTGTTGGAACTCGGTTTTATGACCCGAATACTGGGGATAGTGGAACACCTCTCAGCGGTTCGCAGACTCCACAGAAACGACTTCGGACCCATCAATCCCCAGGCCTCTCAGGGGTTCCAACATTGGCTGATGAGACGCCTAGCCCAAATAGAAGGTCCGCTCCGCGAAGTGACAGCCAAGCTGATCACAGTTCTCCACGCGCCTTTGGAGAACCATTTGGAGAATCGGTCCATATTGTTGGGCCAGTTGCTGCTGAGGATGCTCAGGTTATTGAGAGGTTCATGCCATCAGAGAGCTCGAAAAAGCGATCGGATGCTAAGGCTCCATACAATGTATACTCCAACGATCCTAAGAAACCAATTCTTTACACGACGGTGTCAAGACGCAGACAAGGCCTACGGACAACTGGAATCCCCGGTGAGAGCCAGAAAGAAATTCTCGAGCAGATTCTTGGCCCATTTAAGCACGATCTGGTAAAAATGTATGCGAGAACTTCCCAATCTTGTGTGCCAATTCGGATTTCTCTAATTTCGTACGAACAATTAGCTTTCTGGACAGAATAAACTCTTCATTCCTCATATTCGATGAAACTTCCTTCCTGGAATCCAATAGAACGGACAATGGAAGCCTCCCACCAGCTCTGATGTGCCAAGTATATGCCCAGTCTCTCATCTACTGGGACCAGTCTCGTGTTTTGGCGCCACATCCCAAACCAGACATTCGATACGCGGTTAATCTTGCAGTAGCTGCATTACACGAGGAGTTTTCTGCTCCAGGGTTATCAACTTTAAGCGCTTCTTTGATAGACCTAACAGGCAGACCAATTTTCTCCATGACCGGTAATGCAATTAATAGCGGTCGCACAGTGGCTCTTTCTCATTCCCTTGGCCTCAATCGTGACCCGAGTTGTTGGAAATTGTCACGGGCTGAAAAACATCAGCGTATTCGCTTGTGGTGGGGTGTACTCATCCATGACCGGTGGTACGTTTATCTTGTTGTCTATTCTCACTAGCTTAACTACGTTTTATGGACTGAAAGAAAGTACAGGGCGAGCCACGGCCATGGTGTTCCTCCACAAATCAATAAAAACCAATACGATGTACCACTTCCTACGGTTCAAGTCCTAATCCCGCAAGGAAGCCCTAGTCAGCAGAGGATAAAATCAGCGGAGTGTTACATTGCGTTGTGTCAGCTCACCGAGACTCTAGGCGATCTACTCCCGCTGATATATGGATTGCAACCAAAATCACAAAACGAGACTTCTAAAACGCTTCGAAAATTGCGGACAAATTTAGATTCGTGGGAAGATTCACTTCCAGAATGGCTGAAGAGCTCCCCTGCAGATTCTCCAACTCCTGTTTCGGGATCAAGCAGCTTATATCTCGCGTGGTTAACTTTGAAAATGCTCATTTGCCGTGTTGAATTACAGGTAATATCGCCGTTAATGTCTCGTAATTTAAAAGACTTTTTTCATGAGTACCTAACGTTCACTTGTAGGAAATCAATAATTCGGATAACCCAACCAATCCTGAAGGGCGGCAGTATTTCCAGACCGAATGTAGGAGAGCAGCCGAAGATGTGGTGGAATTCATGATCTCGTTGAAAAGATCTAATTTTGACGAATTCTGGCTGCCTTGTAAGTCATTCTAAGGGGATCATGACTCGTAAGAAAGAGTATACTTATACTTTGATGCAGATAGCGCTTACCACCTCACGTCAACCGCGACACTTTTGGTCCGATGTGCCCTCGAAACGTCCGACTCAGACATCGCCCGATCTTGCCTTTCCAAGGTAGATGTACTTCGTGATGCACTATACCGAGCCCGAGTAGAGTATGACTGGGATCTTGCCGATATGTGTCTTGATCATTGCGAACGGATCTTGACCAAACAACCTGGAATCACTTCCGATGAGGCGCCAGGCGCGGATCAAACCAATCAACCGCCCGATCTTGCTGCTCTCCCTCTTCCAGATAATCTAACGCAGAATGACATTGTCAATGACATGATGTCGATCTCTGGCACATTCGGTACAATGGATGGGTTCCCATTTGATATGACAGGGATCTGGGATGTATCCGGATGGCAAGATGACTTTGGCTAAATTTAGAGAAAACAGCAAGACAGACGTGGCCGCTTCTTTCTAAATGACAGCCCTGCCAGAGCATAGTTGTCACAAGACGATGAGACATATGAAAGTGATTTTGCGGATGCATTATAGCGGCTGACCACAAAAATAATAATAATGACAGTCAAATATTGAGCGGAATGTACTCCTCGGCGAGTGGAAGTTTTAGTTTCCCGATCTTTTCTGGCGAAGTTTTCTCCAACCACTAAAGTACTTTCCCACATGAGGGGACCGGCAATGCAATAGCCAACTTCGAGGGGTATTCTATAAAATGCAACTCTACCTACCTCTCCTAAAATGTATGGAATTTACTTCTTCAATTGGTCTTCTGTCTCAGTCGAAATAACGACTCTACGACCTGCAAAGTTAAAATATACTCCATATCGTCCCTTTAATTAAGTCACCCCTACCCGCTTCAACGGAATCAACTTCCCGCAATAACTCCCAGCGTTAGCGATATTCCCAGCAACTTAGCTCCTAAGATAAAACCAGAGTCTGTGGAGAATGACGTGAATAAAACGTACAGATACTCAGCAATGCCGAACAAGGCCGAACCTGACAAGGGCCATCCATCCAGAAAGCAGGGGATGACTTCAGGTCCGATGTTTCGACAGTACCTACGGAAAACATAATACAGGTGAGGAAAGCCGCTTTACTCCCAGCAAAAGGACAACTCTACATCGTCCAATTTGGTTGGATAGTGACGTGCACTGTCTTATAGCAGCTTCAATCCATTTGATCCAAGGACAAATGATACAAGGAGGACATATTAAAAGTTCGGTATTTCGCTGATACCAGTAGGCAATTCTCGAAGCCTCAGTTGGGGCCAAGATATACGACGAAGCCGGTGACACCTCTGTCAAGTGCTTCAAAATAAGCTCACGAGCTTACAGGCAAAGAAGCCGCGCGGTGAGCGCTTTCAGGGACGATGTGAAACCAAATTTGCCTCCGCACGCACCTGGTGCAGCCTCCCATACAGTTTTGTTAGATCATCGCGCCCATGTTTACTGCTGGGAATTGGGAGCTCTCCCGGCATTATCGCAGGCTTTGGTGACCCTCGTGATTCCTAGTAATGGGATATATTTGACGCTGAAAGATGTGAAGAAGAGTATGCTCTTAGGAGAGAACCGTGAGTTTCCCATTATTATTATTATTATTATTATAAGTATCAAACGCTCGCTTACGCTCGCTATGCTGCTTGCGCAGCCCCCTCTACCACTTTCACTCTCTACCCCTACCCCCCCTTATCACCCCTTCCACCCCCTACCCCCTCTACCACCCACCACCGCCTCTACCACCCCGCAGCCCCCCCTACCACTTCCACTCTCTACCCTTTACCCCCCCCTTACCTTGCCACCCCATCCACCCCTTCTACCCCCCACCCCCTCTACCACCACCACCGCCTCTACCGCCCCGCAGCCCTCTACCACTTCCACCTCCTGCCTCTATCTCTCTCTTACCACCCCTTCCACCCCTTCCACCCTCTACCACCTCTACCACCACTGCCCCTACCGCCCCGCAGCTCTCTCTACCACTTCCACCCCCTACTCCTACCTCTCTACCCCCTTCTTACCACCCCGACCACCCCTCTCACCTCTACCACTCTCTTCCACTCTGGATCACCTCTATCATCATTATCAGATTAATCAGAGCTGTACAGGCTGCAGAGCTGGCTGTTCAATCTCATTCATGAATTCAAAGAGATGCACAGGACATCACATGAGATCATGTTACAGAGCATTTACACAGCATAGCTAGACTGACCGTGTGACCGTGTCTGGGACCAGGACCAAACTTTACAGTTGTCACGTTGCCTAAAAGCATTACTCTGATCATGGTTTGTGTTCATTACATTGATTCCAAATCACATTATTTCAAATATTAAAGATTTCAGATTCACTTTTCAAATAAAAATCTAGTCTCAGTTAAAGAATATGTTTGAATTCTTAGTCACATTTTCATTCTGATCTTATTATTACAAATGATATTAAATAAGATTATGAAATTATTTCTCACTTATATAATATTATAACATAGTACTCATTTGTTAAAAATTCAATAGAGAGTATTATTAAATATTATTACTTTTCTAAATATAGATTATAATTCATATAATTTTAATTATAAAAAAATATAAAATATAAAAAAAAATAAAAAAATAAAAAATAAAATAAAAAGAAAAAAATAAAAAGAAATTAAAAAAAATCAAGTTTACAGAGCTGCAGTACTTTTAAAATACTTATTTCTCAGAGTTTTTATAATATTTATCATTAACTGTATATCTCTTATAATAAGAATAATACAGCTGTAATAAGCTATTATCTTAATATTATCTAATAAATAATCAGTATATATCTGTATAAATGTAAATAATTATGTAAGAGATTTACACTGAATAGATTGATATAATATATAGATTTTATAATATAAAAGTGAAAAACATTAGAGAAGAAAAGAAAGAGAAAGTGCAGAAATCAGTGATTAGAGTGAATATTTATACATATACATAGTAAAGCTTCAGAGTGAAAGAATAGAAATTTCATAAGTTTTTCAGCTGAGAATTAGTAACTGAGAATTAAAGCTTTAAAGTAAAAGAATAGAAGTCTATGAAGTGTAAGAATAGAAATCTATAAAGTGTAATGAAATAGTCTATATAATTGATCAGATGTAGTCTGTTACATTAATCTCTTCTTTTCAGAAGTAATATAGAGTTATAAGTGTGTAATTCTCATCAGTTAAGAGTTACTATCTTAAATAACACAGAGCTTGAAGTTCAGATTGAATAATTATAGCTGACTTATTTCACAAGATATTATCAGCTGCAGCTGCAGAGTCTCTTATTAAGAATATTTTTAATCTCTTATTCAAGTTCATTATCTTCTTCTATAATTTCTAGCAGCTGCTACTTAAAAGTAAGTTGAGAAGAAAATGAATCAGTGATAGTGTAGTGAAGTAAGCTTATATAAAAAATATCATGAATTTCTACTAATATATCAAGATTGTAAGAGGCCTACACTGAATAGATCGGTATAATATTGATAGGTCTTATATAACAAAGATAAAAATGTTAGAGAAGGAAAGAAAGAGAAAGTGCAAGAATCAGTAATTGAGATGAATATTTATACACATATGTGATGGTGTACACAGTGGAGCTTCGGGGCGGGAGAATATACACGTGTTTGTAGCAGCCGAGGATCAGTGATTGAGAATGACTGAGAATCAGAGTGTACACATTCAAGAATGAAGTGATTGGAATCTGTGGAGTGTAACAGAATAGTCTATATGATTAATCAGGCACAGCCTGCTACATTAGTCTCTTCTTCCAGAAGCAGTTCTCATCAGTCAAGAACTGCTGTTTCAGATAACATGAAACTCAGAGTTCAGATCAGTTAATTATAGTCAACTCATTTTATAAGATATTACTAACTACAGTTATGAGATCTCTTATCAAGAATATTCTCAATCTCTCACTCAAGCTCATTATCTTCTTCTATGATGTCTGATGACTGTTAGTCAGAAGTCAGTTGAGAAGAGAATGAATTGATGACAGTATAGCAAAGTAAGCTTATATGAAATATATTATAAATTTCTGATGATGTGTTAAGATAGTAGTTATAACTATGTAGAACTTTTATCACTTTATACTTGATATGACAGTAATCTAGTGTACAAGATGAACATGTGATTTATATATTCTTAAGATTCAATCATATCAGATCTTCTATCTTATATTATTCAGCAGAGTCTCAGTGAATATTAATTTAATTCTCTTGATCTTATTTCACAGTTGTCATGAAGATCTCTGCTCAATCATGAGTATTTCAGAGTTTTATTACTATATTATTAGTAATCTGAATCAGATTGTAAGAGTTTAGTGTGAACTGTGTGATCTCTAGAAGATTCAACACTTTCATGTGATATTCATGTGTAAGAAAGAATAGACTTATATCTATTAAAATAGTATCTTAACTGTTGATAGCAATCTCTGTGTGTAGAAGAAGATTATATTAATCATTTTATAAGTAATTACAGAACTTATAAAGATAATTCTTCACAGTCTGAATTGTCTGTTCTGATATATTATCAGTCTCAGAATGATAGACAGTTGATAGATAGTATATAATCTTGAGAACTTGACAGATTCTTGTTCAGAGAGTACTTACAAATTGACAGTCTTAATCTGATACTATAGATCTCAGTAATTCATGCATTCAATAGAATGAGCTCTGTAGAAAAGCTTCAGCAACTTGTTCAGTATTTATCTTATTACAAGATTTCAATATTATATCTTTGCTCAGTTAATTCACAATGATCAGAATGTTTCTACAACTCTTACTCTCAGATAGATTGACAGTGAAGTTAATTACTACATCTCATCAGATTCTATCAGAGATATTAAGTGATTTTAATAGATCTTTTCTACAGTTCTTTCATGAGATAATAGAAAAACAGTGATTACAGTTTCAGACAAAATATCTGATACTGTTTAATATCTCAGATCAGTAGAACTCTCAGAAGATCATTCTATACAGTTATTTATAACCTGAATAATCAGTTATACACAAATCATGCATCTCTTATTATTATTATTATTATTATTATTCTTCAATTATAGATGTATGCAGTCAGAGACTATGACATCTACCTGAGAACTTTTAGTTCTCAGGGTTTTTTCTATATCTGTAAAGTTAACTATTATACATTCATCAATTTCAGATATGCAAAATCAGAAAATTCCAGCTCAGAATACAAAAACTGTTTACAAATTGCAGTATTTTAACATCTTCTAATACTTTGAAACCATTTGACAATATCATGACAAAGGAAAAGAGAAAGAGAACACAGTCTTAAAGATAGACACATTAAATAGATAGATAGAAAGAAATTGAAAGAAAAAGATAAAGTAAAGAGAGACTGTAACAAAACAAATTATTAAAAGATAGTGTATAGCTGTTTTAACAGACTATATCTGATTGATTTCCCCCTCTTCATATTCAGATAATTCTGAATTTAGTCATTTTCTTGTAGCTGCTTGAGTTTCTGATAGAAAGTCTATTAAGTATTTAATTCCTGTCTCAGTTGAGAATAAGAATCTCATATTTAATTGATTTAGATTATACTTCTCTTTCAATCTGGCTCTGAGATTATTGTATAATGCACAGTGCATTACAATATACTCAGGATTCTCATTTGCATTGCAGAATGAGCATTCTATTGAGTCAAATCTATCATCAAATCTTTGTATATAAGATTTGAAATAGCTATGTCCTAGTTTCAGCTGTATTATAGATGAGAATATTTTCTTTTTACATTTAATTGAATAAGATTTTCACTTAGGTTTTGTTTCAAATCTTGAATAATGTATACTCTTCTTTTGTTTCTGCCAGCTTTCATTTCACTTGTCTAAACAAGATTCTTTTATTTTTCTCTTTATAAAAGACCAGGACATAATTTTTTGAATAGATCTGCTTAATTCTGCACTCTTTTTTACAGCTGAATCAGCCAATTCATTGCCATGTATATTCATATGAGCAGGAACTCAGTGCAGATGAATTATTAGCTTTGATGTTCTTCTCTTTTGAATTTTCAAAACAGAGTTTAAGATCAGTTCAAGATTCATTTAATCATTATGAATCTGACTATTTCTAAGTCTTTTTAAAGCAGCTTGACTATCAGAGAATATTCATGCCTCTTTCAAACTATTTCCTCTTTTATGAGATTTTATTTCTATGAGTTTGAAAGCTTTCACTATTACAAATAGTTCAGCATCAAAGACTTCAGATTCACAGCCTAGATTCCAGAAATCTGAGATAAAATTAATATTATCTTCAGTATAAGCAATGCCTGCGCCTAATCTATTCAGATTCTCATTTTTTGAGTCATCTGAATAAATCAGAATAGAGTCTTTTATATTGATTGTAGAAATCCTCTTCAAATACTGTTCATATTCTTTCTCTTTTGATAGTTCACTTATTTGTAAGTTTATAAGAGATTCAAGCTTTTCTCTTCAGAAAGATAACTTCTCATGATTCACTTTTTCAACATTTAAAGAAGAAAATTGATTTTTAATCAGAGAGCATAGTCTATAAAGTTGAGAAGGCATTTTCTTTAAAGAATTATTTTCATTGCAATCAAGAAATCTATTTCAATCCAGTTCATTTCCAGAGTTAATTGATGAAAATGAAGAAGAGACTCTTTCTCTGATTATATGATTTGAGCTCATCTTTATAACTCTCAGCACATAGTTCATACAGGCCTTTTCAAATCTAATAGCAGAAGAAGAAATTGAAGCTTCAATTTCCATTGCTTTAATAGAAGATGATTTGAATGCTTCTAGAATTCTTCTCAAGACTCTGTTTTGCAGACTTTGAAAGAGTTCAGTAAAATTCTCTTAATTATTTCATCAAACTTGAACTTCATAATCAGCTACTGATGTAATACAGGCTACATATAACTGTTTCATAGCTTGGAAGAATAGACTTCTTGCTGTATTTGATAGTCTGATTATGTTATTCAATAGCCTTTCTGCCTTGACAGTTCTTTGTTGAATGTGATATTTAAAATTCAACTTGGAGTTTAATCATACTTCTAATTATTTAACATTTACACTGGGTTTAATCTCTCTATTTAAAAGAGTTAGAGATAGTTCTTTCTCATTGAATCTAGAAAAGAAATAAATTAACTCAGTTTTATTCATATCAAATTGAATTTAATTGATATCTGCTTTAATAAAGATTTTCTTTGCAGCTTCTTCAATCACTTTCAAATTCTCTTTGATAGTTTTTGAGCTGTAGACTAGATCAATATTATCCATATAACTCAGAGATTGTACTATTCTCATATTTCTATTTTTGAATAGATATGCAGTGTATATTGCAAATAAAATAGATAAGATTGAAGATTCTTGTGATACTTCTATTTTTATCTCAGTCTTGTCTTATTTCATTTCATCAAAGAAAAGTTGTATGATTCTTTTAGATATAAAACAGTTAACTCATTTTATTAGAGAAAGTGGCATTTTTAACATCTTCAAAGTCTGAATTAACTTTGACTTTGAAACATGATCAAATGCTTCTTTTATGTCAATAAAAACTGCAGTTGAGATCAGACCTTCATGCTTGCTATTTGAATATTATGAACAACTGAGAGAACAGTGTCAATTGCAGAACACTGTTTTCTATCTCTCATTTATTCACTGAATAAAAGAGAATCACTTATAGAGCTTATAAAAGATAGTTAAGTAGCTATTATCT